GCCCCCGTCCTCCGCGTCCTGGCCGGGCAGGAGGCACGGTTGCCTGCCCAGCAGCCGTGGAGCCAGGAGAGGACCGGTCGGTCGGTGGACGGGGTCAGAGGCCAGCAGCTGCGAAGCTCTGGGGGCCCTGGGCTCCCCCTGGGCTCCGGCCGCTCGGGGCTCCGGGCTGGGCCTGTGGGCCCCAGGGAGGGGGACAGCTCCCCGCTACCCAGGGCCTGTGCGACCTGCCCCTTGTGGCCAGCAGGGCCCCACCCCACAGAGGACCAGGACCCAGCACCCCGCGGGAGGGGGGTCTGGAGGAGAGAGGGGGTGCGCTTGGGAGGTGTGGGCTGAGGGGTGCGCTGCGGGGCTCCCGGAATGTGGGGTGTCCCCTGTGCGTTTCCTGCCCATGTGGGCGCAGTCTGTGCGCACCTGGGTGTGCTGTGCGGGGCGGGGTGAGGGCGGGAGCGTTGGGCCACACCGCGGGCAGGGGGCGGGGCGCGGGGCGGGGCGCGGGGCGGGGCGCGGGGCGGGGCGCGGGGCGGGGCGCGGGGCGGGGCGCGGGGCGGGGCGCGGGGCGGGGCGCGGGGCGGGGCGCGGGGCGGGGCGCGGGGGGGCCTCCCTGTGCGCAAGCTCGCAATGGCGCTGTGGGGCCAGCCCCCTCCTCAGGGAGCGTCCAGCAGCGCCCTGGAAAACGAGTTTTACTGAAATTCAAAACCCTCACCATGGGGCACCTGAACCCCCAGACAAGACCCCCCTGCGGGGCGGCCTGGGAGTCTGAGATACCAGAAGCCTCGGCTCAGACCGCGACGCGGGGAGCCCCAGGCGGGGGCGGGGCAGGGCGGGGCCAGCGCAGCTCCGTAGCGGGGCCCCGGGATCCCGCACGTGGGGCCGCGGCCAGGCCTGGCTCAGACCCACCATGGGCGACGCGGAGGGGCGGCTCACGCAGGAAAAATGTGCACATGAGCGCACCCGGGATCCCGAGGGGAGCCGGCTGCTCCCCACATGGACGGACACAGCCCCAAGCCCACCCCTGCTTTCAGCTGGGAGGCAGAGGGGGCTCCCTGCGTGGGGGGGCCTCACACTGCAGTGGGGGACAGGGTCGCACCCAGTAGGGCACCACTGTCGGCTCGGGCGCCCTGGGGGCCCAGCACCTTGGCTGGGGGGTGGGCTGCGGGGACAGGCCTGGGCAGCCCCCGTCCCACCCCCACTGCCTGGAGGCTGAAGCCACCACAAAGCGCCCTGTGGCCCACGTGGGCAGGGACCCACATTGTCCGGGGAGCCACCCCAAAGGGGTGCCCGGGGTGGGGGGGCAGCAGCTGAGTGGGGGCCCCAGGGCCTCCCCACGGGCCTCGCCACCTGCTCAGGTGAGGGCCCGGCCCCAGGGCCACTGTGGCCAGGGCAGGCTGTCTGCTGGCCTCAGCAGCAGGGCCAGCAGGGAGCCCCCAGGGCTGGACAGTGGACGGCTGGGGCCTCTCTTAGGGTTAGCTGGTCCTGTTGGGAGCCGCCGCCCCGCCATTGTTCTCCCGCCTCTGAGCCCATCAAAGGGGGCCGCAGGCAACCGGACACCGGCCAGCTCAGAGGGGCCGCGGGCAGGCGCGTGCACAAAGGCGGGAGCCGCTGGGCCTCCACAGGTTGCAGCCCGGGGAGCGGCACCGGGCCCCGCCGGCCGCCCAGCGCCCACGCCACGGAGGCCTCAGCTACGGCCACAGCCTGGCCGGCCAGAGCTCGCGGCTGCGGGGTCCACGCCGTCAGGCCCGAAGGAGCCACCGTCCTGCCGCCACCCCACCGGCCGCCACGCGCCTAGCGGAGCCGCTGTGGTCTCGCGGAGGACCAGGCCCCGGGGCACAGAGTGGACGTCTGACGCCGGCTGGGCCACCTGCCACGGCCATGCTCCTGGGCTCAGCGGCCCACTACTGCCCCTGCAGGGCCTGTGTCCTCCGTCTGCACGGTCCAGGACCCCAGGCCCCTCACGCCGCCCAGCCGGGAGCCCCTGCGGGGACAAGCGGGCAGGCCCTGGCCGCCACACCAGCCTCCCCTCGAAGGAACGGTCAGGCCCAGGCCGTAGGACAAGGGGGCTCCAAGCCAGCGTGGCCTAGAGGGTGGGCAGGATGCCCAAGAGTGGACGCCACCCACAGCTGGACACCCCGAGTGTGGCACACGACGAGGCTGTCTGTCTGTCCAGGGGCAGCTGCCCACAAACGGAGCGCAGTCCCGGCCCCCTCGGGCTCCCGATGCCCAGGGCCAGGCGCTCCCGTTGGTACACCTCCCGATGCCCACTGGCCAGGCCTGGCCCGCTCACTCCCTCCAGGGCCGGCTTGGCCCCCAGAAGGCCGGTGCGGGCACCTGCTGCCTCCAGGGCCTGGACCCGGCTTCGCAGCAGGCTGACGGCTGGCCCCGGCCCGCCAGGACAGCCCATCACCCTGCGCCCAGAGAGGACGGGCCGCCCTCGCCGGCCCTGGCCACACCCTTCCGGAGGCCCCCGGGGCCACTCCCTGGCCAGGCTGGCCGACCGCTGGGGAGGCCGAGC